ACCCTGCGATCATGACCCCAGCCAAAACCAAGAGTCAGATGCTTAACTCACTGAGCCACCCAGATGCCCCTCAAATAATAGATCTTTAAAAAAATAAAATTAAGAAACTGAAAAGGCAAACCACAATTTGAGATAAAGATATTTACAACATATACAAATATAAAAATGTGTGCAGAGTAAAAATGAAGGGTCAAACAAATGAATAAAAAATAGGAAAATGACTAAAACATGTACCACAAAAGATGGAAGACCATATATGAAAAAAGAGTCGGGGAACCCGGGTGACTCAGTGGGTTAAGCCTCTGCCTTCGGCTCAGGTCATGATCTCAGGGTCCTGGGATCGAGCCCCGCATCGGGCTCTCTGCTCCGTGGGGAGCCTGCTTCCCCCTTTTTCTCTGCCTGCCTCTCTGCCTGCTTGTGATCTCCGTCTGTCAAATAAAAAAATAAAATCTTTTAAAAAAAAAAAGAGTCAACCTCATTGGTAATGAGCAAAATAAAATCTCAAACAGATCCCATTTCAAGCCAAGAAGGGCAGAAATCACGAAACTGGATAATCTCAGGTGCTGAAGGTCACACGGAAGAAGTAAGCAGTTACGCATGTGTGTTTGCAGAATCAACTGATACACTTAATTGGATGTCGCATAAATTTGAGCTTGGCCATGATCTACAATGCAGAGATTTTCCTCCAGTATGGGGCATTTGACCTTGGGCACTGAAACAAGACTCCACAGAAGTGGCATTTTTCACAAAAGCCAAAGACAAACTTGAAAAACCCAAGCCCCGCAAGCACTGGAACGAAGAACAAATTGAAAGAATACGGCTTTCGGAGAGAGGCACGCAGGAAACAGACCGAGGCACAGAACCATAGGAAAGCCTTTTTGGTGCAATTCTGTTAGTTTCCCAAAGAAGTAAAATGAAGCAGAACACTGCTTAGTAAAAAAAATCACAAAAGGTAAAGGTATGAAGATCAAGCAAAGAAACAATCAGTGGTCATCGGTGGGACAAGACGGTGGTGCGTTCGGGGAGGGTCATGTCGGGAGACTTGCAGCTACCCACGGCCCATTTAGGAATCCAGGTGGCGAATTCACAGAGGTTCACACTGTGGCTGGTGTTTGGATGTCCCAGACACCTGGATATGCACTCTAAATACGGCAGATTTCACCATAAAAGTTAAAGCATTAATCAAGGTTGGAAAATAACACTTGTATGTTTGCTTACCATGTAATATGAATAAGTTAGTCCTGATTAACAAACCTGGGCAGAAGAATATTTAGTGCAGATCGAATGCCTAATTAGAGAAAACCAGTTGCTTAAACTTGAAAACCAAAGACATCTGACATTATATGAAAAGGTCTGCAGGACCATCACATGAGCAAAAGTACGTTGCCTCTTGTTCATCATATTACTTTCCTATAACAAAAGAAAAACGTTTGCACTTCTGTTTCATTTTGCAGAAAGAAACACTGATAAAAATGCACAAGAAATTGGGGTGCCTGGGTGGCTTAGTGGGTTAAAGCCTCTGCCTTCGGCTCAGGTCATGATCTCAGGGTCCTGGGATCGAGCCCCACATTGGGCTCTCTGCTCAGTGGGAGCCCGCTTCCTCCTCTCTCTGCCTGCCTCTCTGACTACTTGTGATTTCTCTCTGTCAAATAAATAAATAAATTCTTTTAAAAAAAATGCACAAGAAATTATTAAAACTAGTTGTCTGAGGGTGGCTGGGATAGGGCTGGCACAGGCCAGGATATGCTGGCAGGAAGTTGTCCTGTGTTAGATTTTCAATGTTTTGCAGGGTTTTTAAAACTTTATGTACATTATTTAACTTCACATAAAGAGAAATCTATATGTTATATTTTTGCTTTTTTAAAAAACCACTTATTTATTTACTTATTTATTTTAGAGACAGAGGGACAGCACTCAAAGGGGATGGAGAGAGAGAATTCCAAGCACACTCCACACTGAGCACAGAGCCTGACACAGGACTCAATCCCACGACCCTGAGATCATGACCTGAGCTGAAACCAAGAGTCTGATGTTCAACTGACAGAAACCCCCCACCAACACCGTGCTCCTGTATTTTGCTTCTTAACACTTTTTCTTTTTATTTGGCAACCACTTTTCCCTGTGGTTTTAAGATTTAATCCTGTGAGGGGCGCCTGGGTGGCTCAGTGGGTTAAAGCCTCTGCCTTCGGCTCAGGTCATGATCCCAGCGTCCTGGGATCGAGCCCCGCATCGGGCTCTCTGCTCCGTGGGGAGCCTGCTTACCCCACCCTCCCACCTGCCTCTCTGCCTATTTGTGATCTCTGTTAAATAAATAAACAAAATCTTTTTTAAAAAAATGTAATCCTGTGAAAATGAATAAAGGTAAGCCTCACTAACACGGAGTTGGAAGAAAAGATAATAATAATGAATGAAAAAAAGAAAGAAGAAAAACCCAAAAAGGAAAAAAGAAAATCAGATGGAGTTGGCCGTCCAAAAGGGGGAGCCCATTCCACCTCGACTGCAAGAAGGACTTCCCGTTACACGCTCCGGGCAGAAGACCCTGGGGGGAAGAGCGGTCAGTCTCAGAGCCCGGCAGGAAGAGATGTCCGAGGCGTCCCCCAGAAGAGGCCGACTACCCACAGGCCGGCCGCGGGCTCCGCCACTGCGGCCCGACACTCTGGACCTCAGGGCTATGCGCCCGAGCCCCACATTGGGCGTAGAGCCTACTATCAAACATTTTTTTTTAAAGATTTTATTTATTTATTTGACAGACAGAGATCACAAGCAGGCAGAGAGGCAGGCAAAGAGAGAGGAGGAAGCAGGCTCCTTGCCGAGCAGAGAGCCCGATGCGGGGCTCGATCCCAGGACTCCGAGATCATGACCTGAGCCGAAGGCAGCGGCTTAACCCACTGAGCCACCCAGGCGCCCCTACTATCAAACATTTTAAAAATAAAATAAAAAATAAGAATGGAGAATCCTTTTTTTTTTTAAGATTTTATTTACTGGGACGCCTGGGTGGCTCAGTGGGTTAAGCAGCTGCCTTCGGCTCAGGTCATGATCCCAGCGTCCTGGGATCGAGTCCCACATCGGGCTCCTTGCTTGGCAGGGAGCCTGCTTCTCCCTCTGCCTCTGCCTGCCACTCTTGTCTGCCTGTGCTCGCTCTAGCTCCTCTCTCTCTGACAAATAAATAAATAAAATCTTTAAAAAAATTATTTAGATTTTATTTATTTGACAGAGATCACAAGTAGGCAGAGAGGCAGGCAGAGAGAGGAGGAAGCAGGCTCCCCGCTGAGCAGAGAGCCCGATGTGGGGCTTGGTCCCAGGACCCTGGGATCATGACCTGAGCTGAAGACAGAGGCTTTTTTAAAAATATTTTTTAAAGATTTTTATTTATTTATTTCACAGAGAGAGAGAGAGAGAGAGAGA